TTTAAATGTGATCATGTTTATAATCAATTAAAAAAATATGAAAAATTTAAAGATTACAACGAATGTGTGTCTTCTAGAAAAATTACTCGAAAATATAATGCAACACATGTTTCATCGTTGTCGGAGCATCAAACTAACGATTCTCCTATACTATCTTCATTTTCTATTCATCTAGAGGATGAGGGTGACGTTGGAGGATCCTCGTTCAATTTTACGGATACTGACATCGAAACTCCACAATAAGACACACGTCCTACGGGAATAAAAAATCTAAAATGACAAAAAAAGGTTGATGGTACCTTGCATTATGATGTTCAAACCATAATAAACAACACCTCAAAAGTTGTCGAAACTTTAAAAATATCATATGAAGAAATTAACAAGTATAATGAGATTGAAAAACAAACATTAGAATATAAAATGCTTCAATGTGGGAATAGAATTTTGGCAATAGATCTTAATGTTGTTCCAGACGCAAATATTCGTATGCTACATTATATATAATCAACAACAAGAGATCATAAGAAAAATAACAACACAATATCAATTAAATTCGACTTGTTCGTTCTTGCAATTCTTCGATGACATTGGTTGAAGTGGGGTGATTTAGGTCCGTACTACGCATTATGTATTTATTTATGTTTGTAATGATTATTTTTTATTTAGTGTGAGTATTGCTAGTGTTTTTAATATATTTTCTTTTAATTCAATAAATGTTGTTGCACTTCTTTGTAATATATTGTTGTTGTATTTTTATGTATTATATTGTTTTTAATTAAATCAATATGTTAACTTTTGTTTATATTGGTGAATTAAATTTTATTTTAAATATTTATTTTATGTATATTTATAGGATAATTTATACTCCCTTCGTCCACAAAAAAAAAAGTATACAATTACTTTTGGCGCGGTGTTTAAGAAATAATAGTATTTTAATTATAGTGGGTAGTTAAAAGTAGTGTAATGACATTTTTGCCCTTGCTTTTTGGTGTAAAAGTAATGATGTGATGTAAAGTAGGGGTATTTGTGGAAAAAAAATAAGGTATTTAATGAAATGTTTACTTTGTAATTGGACGTCCAAAAATAGAAACATGTATACTTTCTAGCTGGACGGAGGGAGTATATTATTGTGTGTTTGTTCGGGGGATTGGATTTAATTTTCACTATTCATCCCCTTTTTTTTCCCAAAAACATCAAATCGAACACCTATTTTTCATTTTTTATATTATACTAAAAATCAATTTTACATTCAAAACATCACATCAACACCTATTTATATCTAAAAATCAATTTTACATTCAAAACATCACATCAACACCTATTTATATCGCATCATACAACTATTCAAATTCAAAATTTTTACTATTCAAATCCCAATTCAAAATCCAAACCCCAAACAAAATATATAATTTTTTTTTCAAAAAATTACTTCGAATTTATTGCAAATATTCTATTTATTTAATATAAAATTTAAATATATTTAAAAAATAATATAAATTATAAGAAATTTAAATCACTAAATAAATAATAAAAACTACAAATATACACAATTAAATATAATAGAATTACAGATTTGTCTCTGGATCAATTTGCAATTTGTTAAAATTAAAAAAATATTAAAAAATTAAAAATTAAAAGGACACCGTAATTGTGTTGCTACAGTGCAATAGCAAAAATAGTATTACACTATAACAAACACAAAAAATGATGTTAGATAAGGCGTTCCATTAGAGGGGCAAAATTCTAATTATGGGACTGCAACATCATTTTTTACGCTGCATTGTAAATTATTTTAATAAAATATAAATTAAAAAAATATATACTTACATAAAATAAACACACGGATGTAAATTTATATTAGTATTTTTTATATGAATAAAATTATTTATTTTTGTCATTCGCTATTACTTTCTCTGTCCCGTATAATTTGTTTCTATTTTTTTTATCCTTCCCACATAATTTGTCCTTTTTTTAAAAAAAATATATAATTATATATTTTAATTACATTTTAAAATTTAAATTTTATAATTTTTGTAATCTAAATTAAAGTATTTAGTTATCTTAATCTATAATTATTTTTACTAATATATTTTTTAATTACTTACTAATCATATTTTACCTAAATTCATATGTTTATAGTAACGCGCCCAAATTACCTAGGTGAGAGGGGAGTATAATTAATTAATTAATTAAATTTAAATACATATTCTACCAAAAAAAAAAAAAAGAATACTCCTAAACCCTACCATTTCAAAGCCACCATATTCTTAAAGGTGTCAGATGTTGTTTGTCTTTGTCACAATGTTAGTTTAATTAATTAATTAATTAAATTTAAATTTTGATTATTTTTAGACTATCTTGTATAATTAAATTAATTTTAAATTGTGGTTTATTTTTTTTTTCCATTAAATTCATTATTCAAAATATATGTGAGAAGGGACAAGAAAAATCGTGATGGACGATTTTTTTTTTAATTATAAATACTCTCACATCCGGGTTACTAAATCTATTCAAAAAAATTATAATACACCATCTTCTTAAGGTTCAGGATCTGACAACATCTTCCTGGAATTCCATGATTTGACAACATCTTCTCAAAATTCCAACATTCGTATTACTTTGAAGAAAAAGATCTCAACGACATATTTAAATTTACCAATGGGCTGGAGGCTTGTTTTCTTTTAATATTTACTTCCGCTAATTTATTTGATTTAAACATGATTACTTTCAATATAAATTTCATATTTAAACCATTCGGTAGAAATTTAAGTATTTCTAACAACAAGTTCGTCAATCTATCTATCTTCAGTTAGCTGTTATAAATAAAAAAGAATAAAAGCATGTGGCAAAAACTGTCTAAAAAAATACTCACTCCGTCCATTGAAAGGTTATCATTTTCCATTTTCGTTCGTCCCAAAACAAGGTTACCATTTCCTAATTTAGTAATTGTACTGCCTACTTAATATAATAAATATCTTTTCAACTTACAATATATTACACAAATGTCATTACTTTTATATTACACAATACTAATAAAGGTATTTTTGTCTTTTTAACTACAATCTAATATAATACTAATATTCAAAAATTTACCTGAAAAAACAAACGTCACCCTTTCAACGGGACGGGGGGAGTAGTTATTTTGTTTTCCGGGAAACCGATTGTGGCGGAAAAAGATGATAGATTTGTAAAACAATTGTAGAAAAAAAAAATTTAAGTAAAGTGGATTGAAAAAATAATTTGTCACTCCTTTTGTAGACATTGAAAAGAAGCAGCAGTTATCAAGCTGAACACAAAGGAGTCTTCCGGACTGCACCAATTACATTTTTTGATTACTATATTTATAAATTATATTGAAATTAAAAAATCTACATCAATAACAATAGATTTATTTAGTTCAGTTTGATATTACGCATTTTATTCAAATATTAATTAATAGAAAATAAATAAACGAATTATTCAAACACCATATACTTATTTAAATATATTTTTAAAATACAATTAAATAACTTTTAAAAAATAAGCAAAAGAAATAAATAAACAAATTATTCAAACCTCGTATACTTATTTAGATATATTTAAAAATACACTTTTGTTTGGGGTTGGATTTTGAGTTGGGATTTGAATAGGAAGAATTTTGAATTTGAATAGTTGTATGATGCGATATAAATAGGTGTTGATGTGATGTTTTGAATGTAAAATTGATTTTTAGTATAATATAAAAATAAAAAATAAGTGTTTGATTTGATGTTTTGAAGGGAAGGGGAAAAAAAATTAAATGAACAGTGTAAATCCAATCCAATTCCCCAAAGAAACACACCCTTAAATAGCTTTAAAGAAAATAAACAAAAGAAATAAATAAAGGAATTATTAAATATTCATTTCCTATTTTAATAAAAAATAATTATATACTAATATTAAAATAATTTTTATTTAAATTATAAATATATTATTATATATACAATTATTTTATACATAAAATTAAATGACAAAAATATCAAAAAATTTTACACATTTTTAATAATTAATAAAATATTATTATTTTTTAATCTAATATAAAATTTCTTTAAAAAAAAACTTTTAAGTAGCACATAAAGAATAATATTTTATTTATTAAGTTATTGAGTAAATTATATAACACATCATTGTATTTTATTAAACATGCACAAAACACTTTGTATTTTATTTATTGCATGAAACCCCTTGTGTTAATAGAAAGTTTGCATGAAACACCTCATTGTCCAAAATTGATGTTTGTTTCAAAATAAAGACTTAAATTACATAAGTTTTATACAAATAAAAAACATAAAATATCTTAAATAATTTTTTTTGAACAAAATAAATAAATAAATAATTGATTAATTATTTACTTTTATAAATTTTATAAAAATCACACAACAATTTGTCTCAAAAATTATAAAAATGAAAGATTAATAAATTATTTATTTATTTATTTAATGCAAAAAAATTATTTAAGATTTTATTTGTATAAAACTTACGTAATTTAGGTCTTCGTACAAACTTTACATTAACACAAGAAATTTCACGATATAAGATATTTTGTGTATTTTTTACTAAAATACAAGATAATATTATATAATTAACCGAGTTATTTTATAAATTAATTTTGTAAAATATCTAAAATAGCACATGAAGCTTAGCATATATAGCCCACATTTCTATAAGAATCAATAAAGATGTGTTTGATTTTGAGTTTAAGTTTACAGTCCCAATTTAATTATTTATAAATAAATATTACATAATATTATAGATGTAAAATCAACTGATAATATAATAAAAATAATAATTAAAAAAATATAGTTAAAAAAATTATATCAATTAAAAACATAAATTTTTTTTATCTGGTAATTATTTTATTATAAAAAAAAAAATTAATGATTTGATAGAAATACAAAATAAAAACTTAATCAGAAACTAAAACTAGATTAAAAAATAAAAAATAAAATTGAAAACAAAAACCAAAATAGCGTAAAAATGAGGGGATCAGATTGGTTTAAAATGAGAGTGACCCAATGTCGTAACAGGCTTTAGGCGGGCACCCATCTCGCATATTTTGTTGCGAGCATTTACCACTCATCATATCCCCTTCAAACTTGCCTGAAGGATCATACCATTTGCAATCACATTTCCCACTATTTATACTTCCAACATCGCCCCATATGCTTTTCCTCTTCCGATGTGGGACTCACACTTGCACAAAAACGTTTTCGACTTTAAAAAGTGGGAGTACTAAAACGCGACTTTGGTTATAGTGTTGAAAATGGGCTTGTAGGGTTTGTAGGGAAGGCGATCTCGCTCATCCGACGGCTCAGATTTTTTCGGGGAATAAAAGAAATTGGAAAATAGAAATTAGTTGGATCTTCAATTCTTCTTCGTCACTCTCGCACGGAATTCTTCGCCTACTCTCTCTGTCTCTCTGCGCGTCGCGAATCAGAATTATTGTACGAGCACTGTTGTAATGGCGGATGCCTCTCAGCCCGATCGATCGCCGGCCCGAGCCCATTCCCGATCCGGTTCGGGCCACGAGCAGTCGCAGTACTGGTGCTACCAATGCGACAAGCACGTGGACGTTGAAACCCTCGCCGCTGACGTCGTCTGCTACGAGTGCAAGGCAGGTTTCGTGGAATCCATCCCCGCGCCGGAAGGAGCAGTCGACGATCGGTACGACGACGTTTCTCTGGGAAACCAGTTCATCCAGGTGCTTCGATTGATCTCCGAGGCGGCGCGTGATGGTGACGCTCCTCCTCCTCCTCCTCCTCCTCCTCCACCTTCTGATCCGTCCGACGGAGATTACCTTCGCATCGAAATCGATGGTTGGCACAACGACGATGATGACGAAGACGAAGACGAAGACGAAGACGAGGACGAGCATTCAGTGGAGGTACTCAACCAGGAAGAAGAGGAAGAGGATGCGGAGGCGGCCGATAACCGCCGGCGCAACTCTGAAATCGACAGATCCGACGGCGAAGACGATGAAAGCGAAGATGAAATCGAAGTGATCGAGCCTCGCGACGAGGAGGAAATGCGAAGGCGGCGACGTGACGTGCTTCGTCTTCGTCTTAGGGATTTCGCCTCGCGCACTGCAACCAGACGCAACAGAATTCTCGATTGGGCTGAAATTGTGATGGGGCTGGAGGACCACTCCATCGAGCTCCGATTACAGTCTCCAGATTCCGATACCTACGTCGGCAATCCAGGCGATTACGTCGACGCTGCCGGATACGAAGCCTTGCTGCAAAACCTAGCCGAGACTGACACCGGAGCTCGGCGCGGAGCACCGCCGGCCGCAAAATCAGCCGTCGAAGGACTCGACAATTTAATGATCGACAAGGAGGATAATGCAATTATATGTTCTATCTGCAAAGATATGGTAACAGTCGGCCAAGAACTCGGGAAGAGCTTGCCGTGCGGCCATGGCTATCATACTGATTGTATAGTCACCTGGTTGGGAACACGAAATTCTTGCCCTGTTTGTAGGTTTGAATTGCCCACAGATGATCCCGAGTACGAAGAAGAGAGAAAGATGAGGGCGAAAGTCGCAGCCGCGGCGGCCCTAAGGACCGGATCCTCCTCCGGCAGCCGCAGCGGCGGCAATGAGTGACCTGACCTGTAACGGTACATGGCTAAAGACCCTTTGCCATCTTAGTTGCCTTTGCCTTGCCATCTTTGTTATCACTATAAATTGCAGTTTTCGAATTTATGTGGTTTAGTTATTATTACAGTTTGTCATTTGTAAATAACAAGATTTGCAATTAGCTTGATATGGTTTAGCAGCCGCCATTGATGATTTCCTTGATCGTGCTTTGTGTCTTGCTGAATGTAGAGAATAACAGCACTTGTTCGACTACACATTCTTTGCTTTTATGGGTATCAAATATTGCAATAGTTGAGGTTATATCTTCATGATTTGAATCTAAACTTTCTGTGATCATGATCATGAACTGTGCTGTTTTTGTTCCAAGAACAATGTTTGCAGGTATTGTTTAACGAATTACTGCCACACTATAGCTTGTAAGTCATCCATGGTGTTCGATTTACATACTTATAATCTTCGAGAACTGACTTTTGTATCTTCGATTTCAAGAAAGCAGCATCGAATTTTGGTTTGATCAGGCCTTGAAGGTCGAGGGATTGGTGAGCATCTGGACGACTTCCTTCATACTCGGGCGTGCGGAGCTCTCATCCTCAACACACATCATCGCAATCCTGAGCATGTTCGCAACGCTCGTCGCAGGGTATCCGGTCAGCCTTGCATCCACCACAGCCTTAGCCACTGCAGCATCGTCTGTCAGCCGTAGCTCCGCCACCTCCTCCGACGTAATCTTCCGCGCCCACCTGACTATATCCACCCCCTCCCCAAACTCCCCCACCGGCTTTCGCCCCGTGATCAGTTCCAGCAACACCACGCCGAAGCTGTACACGTCGCTCTTCTGATCGACGTTCAGCGTGTACGCATACTCTGATTTTTACAGGAACTTTGGTTGAGCTTGAAGTCGCAAGAAGTGAAAAATATAAGAGTAGGGATTGAAATCGAACCTGGCGCAATGTATCCGTAGGAGCCGGCGATTGTGGACATGCACTCGTCACGCCAGAACTTGGCGAGCCCGAAATCAGCAACATGAGCCTCGCAATTTGAATCGAGCAGAATGTTGTTCGGTTTCACGTCCCGGTGAATAATCGAAGGCGAGCAGTCGTGGTGGAGATAACTCAATCCTTTGGCGGCATCCACCGCGATTCTGTACCGTGATTCCCACTGCAACTTTGTTCCTTTGGCGCTGCTCAGCATCTCCCCCAAGCTTCCATTCGACATATATTCGTACAGCAGCAGGTTCGTATTCTTGTTCGACACGTGTCCTAGGAGTCTCACGATGTTCCGGTGCCTGATTTTTCCGAGTGTCTGAATCTCCGCCGTGAAGCCATGATTGCTGCGGCTGCTCATCACTCTTTTTATCGCGATCTCGTCTCCATTAGGTACACACCCTTTGTAAACGATCCCAGATCCTCCTTTCCCGATTATGTTATCTTCTTTCAGGCATTCGATCACGTCCTCAGCGCTGAAGCCAACCTTCTGGAACGCGGTAAGTTTCCAGGCTCTCGACTTTTTAAGCCTTCTTTTCCGGAAGATAATTGTTAATCCGAGTGCAGTCAAGAAGGCAATGGCAGCCGAGACTGCGACGATCACCATCTTCGACGTACGGCTTTTAGGATATCCATGTGATGAATCCGAACCCGACGGGCAAGATGAGTTACGAGGGAAACAGAGTTTCGTATTCCCTGTAAAGAATCGGTCGTCCAAGTCTTTCAACAGCCCCGTCATCGGCCGAGTTCCTGAGAAGTCGTTGTAAGAAAGGTCCAACACCGTCAGGCTTTTCATCAGGCCGATTTCGCCTGGAATTACGCCGTCGAGTTGGTTTTCGGACAGGTTGAGGACATTCAAGTTCTGTAATCGGGAAATGTTCGATGGTATCGAACCGCGAAGATCGTTCCGGCTTAGATCGACTATTGTCAAGTGAGATCCTTGAGCAATGGAGGCAGGAATTTCACCTCTCAAGAAGTTGCCGCTCAAGTTTAGCATCGCAAGTTTCTCGATACCGAAAACCCGGCCAGGAATCTCCCCGGACAGCTTGTTTGCGTCGAGAGAAAGGGTTTCGAGTCTACGGAGATCCCCGATTGACGGAGGAATCTTTCCAGCGATCCGATTGTTGGACAGGGCAAGACTACTGAGCTTTCTGGCTGATATTGCCTCCGGCAGATGACCCGTTAAGTAATTGTCGTTCAGCTCGAACATGTCCAGCAATGGCAGCGCGAAGAATCCGGCTGGAATCGATCCGTTGAGGAAGTTGTTCTTGATTCGGATACGGGTCAAGGATTTGCACCTCCCGAGCTCCTCAGGGATCGCGCCGTAGAAGTAATTGTTCATCAAGATCAACGTCTTCAATCTCCCTCCTTTGCATAAATCCCTCGGGATTGTTCCGGTCAGATGGTTTCTGGCGGCGTCGAGCTGCTTCAGGCGGCTGTTCCGGCCGAGATTCTCCGGCAATTCCAGGGTGAAATTGTTGTTCCATATCTGTAGAACTTCTAGATTGGGAAGATCCCCGATGAAGCCCGGGAGGGGACCCTGGAATCTGTTCTGGAATAAATTGATCAGCGTCAGGTTCTTCAGGTCGGAAAAGTTTCCAGGGATAACTCCGGTGAGCTTGTTGAAGGAGAGATCCAGCGACATCAAGCTCTGCAAACCCGACAGCTCCGCCGGAATTTGCCCTGTCAGATTGTTCACCTGGAGAAACAAGCTGTGCAGGTGCCTCAGATTGCCGAGGCTCGCCGGAATTTCGCCTGTCAGATTGCACATTGCCAGGTCGAGTAACTGAAGCGTGGCGATCGACCCGAATTCCGGCGGAATCCCGCCGGAAAATGCGTTGTAATACCCTAGACAGAGCTCTTGAAGATTCGGAATCATGGCCAGGCCCGCCGGAATATTCCCTGTCAGGCTGTTCCCCTGTAAAGCCAAATGTGTTAAGCTCTTGAACTCGGAGTAAATACCGGGGATTTCGCCGGAGAAATAATTTCCGGCGAGGTTAAGAATCCGGAGCTTCTTCAGTTTCACGAACCTCGCCGGAAGTCTCCCGTCGAAATTGTTGTTGTACACGTCGAGAACTTCCAGCTCGGTTAGGTTCGAAACGACGTCGTTCGGGAAAGTGCCGTTGAGCATATTCCAACTGAGATCGACGTACTTCAACGAGGTTAGGCTAAAAATCTCCTCCGGCAGAGGTCCGGTGAGATTAGCGCCGGCGAGCGTGAGATTCACGAGCTTGTTCAGAAGCCCAATCTCCGGCGGAATAGTGCCGAAGAGTCGAACATTAGTGATGTTCAGTGACGTCACGCGTGCGTCAGCATTACAACCGACGCCGGAAAAAGTGCAGTGTGCCGGAGAAGACGACGGCGGCGGCGGAGCCCAGTCGTGGAGGCCCGAGCCCGACGGCCCGATTAGAGATACCTTGAGCTTTAACAGGACATCAAGATCGGAGAATGCGTTGCGAAATTCGATCTGAGAAAGGACGGTGAGGATGACGAAGTGCAGGCAGGATTCTCTGATCATGATTTCTTTGGAAACCGAAGGTCGGAAAGAGGTGTAGATATGGCGGAAAGGTTTGTCTGTAAGCCTGACAGGTTTTTCTGCAGAGTCGTCTTCGTGAGTAACGGCGGCTTTGTAACGCCGTTAGAAATGAAGTGAGAGAGAGACCTCATGGACGCCGACGCCGTGAGTGACGGTAGATAAGAAAGAAGCGCTAGTTTGGAAACGCGACTCTCTGTACTTTTCCGAGAAAGAATTATTAGGGATGACAAGAGTGTTGTCTTCGACCTAAAGGACACCTGCTGACCTGTCCTTGTGACTGTATGATTTTTTGTACACTGAAAGTCAACTGGATTATTTTGTTTCTCTGGTGGGCCAAATGGACTTCCAATTAATTAATAATGGATTCGTTTGATTTGAAATGTATTTAAGTTTGTTTAGGCTATCTTCGACCCAACCGAACCGAACTTTATTTATGCATTCTAACTTTAAAAATTGCAGTTCTAGTATTTTTATTCTCATTTTATATATTCTTTCGCATCTTTCAATTTATCTAACATTACAAATACGTTTTTAATTTATAATATATTATATAAATTATTATTTTTATATATACAATACTTTAGTCTTTTTAGTTTTATTTCTACTATGTATAATTCTAATATTTGTACAACTCCGTAGAAAAAACAAATTGATATATAGATATGAGACGGGTGGAGTATTATTTTAAATCACTTTTTATATCTACAATTAATATAATTTTGTATTATTTTAAATCACTTTTTATATCTACAATTAATATAATTTTAAAAAGAAAAACTAAAAAATAAATTTAAAAAAATAATATACAAATTAAACAAAAAAAAATAAAAAAAAGACATGCAATACCATAAAATGGCAAATGGTGCCAAAACTGGCGGAGTGTTGATGAGAAAAGAACTCCATTTATTGGGCTGCAGTTCCAAAAATGTAGTATCATTGGAGATACTTTTAATCTCAAAAAAAGATTTATTCAAATTAAAACAGAAAGCAAACATATCCTATTATGATAATAAAAAATATATATTTTTTTAAATTTTAAAAATAATAAAATATTGAGTGTTTAATGTTATATTTTATGAAACTTTAACATATTTTATTGTGCAAGTTATTATTATGAACGATGGTAGTATTTGATAAATTCTAGTACTTTTTTGGGGAGTACATCCGCACCAGGACTGTAAAATAATTAAATTATTTACAAGTTTAATTCAATTTTTCTCATTTTGTTATATAATAATATAATAGTGTGTTGATTAGTATATAGATATATGTACGTATATATTAGTCTAAGTATTTATATTAATATATTATAATATAGTAGAGCAAAAATACGTAATAGAGAGGGAGAGTATGAATTGATTGTCTATGTCTTTTATTGAATGAAAACATGCGTGTATTTATAGGCAAATTGAAGTACAGTGAAGGCCACGCAACATCCACACTATATACATGTGTATACTACGTAGTGTATAACACTCCCTCTTGGATATTTTATACAAAGAATATGCCTCATTAAAATCTTACTATGAAAAAACGTTGTGGGAAAAAATCATAGTGAAGGAAAAAGAATATATCATTCTTGTATTAATGCGCTCCCCCTGTTTTGGATTTTATTTGATGTTTTTCATCCGACGCATTCCAATTTCTTGCACCAATTTGTTGAATGTTGCAGTCGGTAGCGTCTTCGTAAATAAATTTGCAAAATTTTCAGACGATCGAATTTGTTGCACATCAATTTCACCACTTTTTTTAAGATCGTGAGTGAAAAAGAACTTCGGAGATATATGCTTTGTTCGATCGCCTTTAATATATCTTCCATTTAATTGAACTATACAAGCTGCATTATCTTCAAATAATATTGTAGGAGGTAATACATCATCATATTTCAAGCCACAATTTTTCTGAATATGGTACGTCATAGACCTCAACCAAACGCATTCACGACTGGCTTCGTAAATTGCTAAGACCTCAGCATGGTTTGAAGAAGTGGTTGTTATTGTCTGTTTAGCGGATCTCCAAGAGATTGCGGTTCCACCACAAGTAAATAAATAACCAGTTTGAGATTTTGTTTTGTGTGGATCAAACAGATAAATAGCGTCAGCATAACCCATTAATTCATTTCGAGATTCACTCGAATAAAATAAACCGAGGTCATGAGTCCCCTGAAAATAACGAAAAATGTGTTTGATATCATTCCAATGGCGCTTTGTGGGAGATGGGCTAAACCTGACCAATAGATTTACTGAAAAAAAATAAATCTGACCTGGTATAATTTGCAAGGTATATTAATGCGCCAATAGCGCTGAGATATGGTACCTCGGGGCCAAGTATTTCTTCATTTTCTTCTCTTGGCCTAAATAGATCTTTACTGGGATCAAGAGATCTGACCATTATTGGTGTACTCAGGGAGTGAGATTTATCCATATAAAATTGTTTTAATACCTTTTGAGTATATGTGGATTGATGGATAAATATTTCATTATTAACATGATCCACTTGTAATCCCAGATAATATTTTGTCTTTCCAAAATCTTTGATCTCAAATTCTTTATTTAGATATTCAACTGCAATTTGGATCTCTTCAGACGTTTCAATTAAATTGTGATCATAAACATAGATTGCAATAATGACAAAGTTTGATTCATTTTTCTTTATAAAGATGCATGTGCATATTGGATCATTAGTATAATATTTTTTTTATTAACATTCGCTCAGACGGTTATACCACATTCGCCTTGATTGTTTAAGTCCATACAATGACTTTTTCAATTTGATGGAATATGATTCATTTGGGTGTAATTTGTATGCTTCAGGCATATTGAATCCCTCATGAACTTTTATTTAAATATCAGTATCCAAAGAGCCATAAATATATCCAGTAACTACGTCTAAAAGACGCAATACGAGTTTTTCTCGCACTGCTAGGCTCACAAGGTATCTAAATGTTATTCCATCAACAACTGGAAAGTATGTTTCATCAAAATCTACTCCAGGTCTTTATGAGAATCCCTGAGCTACAAGACGGGTTTTATATCTCACAATTTCATTAAGTTCATTTCTTTTTCGTACAAACACCCATTTGTATACAACTGGTTTTATGCCATTTGGTGTTTAAACAATTGGTCCGAAGACCTCCCTTTTGTTTAATGAGCCGAGCTCTGATTGAATCACATTTTCCTATTTTGGTCATTCATTTCTTTGCCGACATTCATGAACCAATTTTGGCTCTGGATCCTCATTATCTTCCATTATATCAAGTGCTAAACTGTATGCGAAGGCATTATCAATAACTGCATCTTTACGGTTCCAACATTTCCTTGAAGTAACATAGTTAATTGAGTTTTCAATAATCTCATCATGTTCTTCAAGATCGTGCTCTTCTGGAGCAATTTTTTCAAAGTTGTCTTCTTCATTAGATTGAGGTTTATCAATGTCATTCATGATATTTTCATGATTATCATCATTAATTCCTCTTTTCTTTCGAGGATGTTTGTCTTTGGAACCGAGTGGTCTACCACGCTTTAAGCGTGTCGCTGATTCATTAGCACTTGTAATTTGTCCATCAGGACAATTATTTTAGCCGGGGCATTAGCAGTTTGGATATATGATCGAGTGACTTTGCTTGAGTCATTGAATGCATCCGGTAACTGATTTGCAATATTTTGCAAATGTATAGTGCGTTGAACTTTTAGTTCACACTACTTAGTACGAGGATCATTAAAATTCAATGAGATTTTCCAATTAATATCCCTTTTGGTTCATTTCTATCTCCCCCTAATGTCGGAAAATATGATTCGTCAAAATGACAATCTGCAAATTTTGCAGTGAATAAATCACTCGTCATAGGTTCAAGATATTTTATAATTGACGGCGATTCATATCCGACATAAATGCCCAATCTACGTTGATGATCCACTTTTGTACATTTTGGGGGGGGAGGTTGGAATAGGAACATAAACATCACACCCAAAATACGTAGATGAGATATATTTGGTTCGTGACCAAATACTAATTGCATTGTGGAATAGCTATGATAGTTTGTCGGTCTCATTCTTATAAGTATTCCTGCATATAAGATTGCATGCCCCCAAGCTGAAACGGGCAACTTAGACCTCATCAGTAATGGTCTAGAAATCAATTGCAATATTTTAATAAGTAATTCTACCAGACCATTTTGTGTATGAACATGAGCAACTGAGTGCTCTATATTAATTCCAATCGACATACAATAATCATCAAATGCATTCGATGTATATTCACCAGCATTATCCAGACGTATAGTCTTAATTGGATTATTGGGGAATTGTGTCCGTAATTTAATAATTTAGGCAAGCAATCTCGCAAATGCCATATCGCAAGTAGATAATAAACAAATATGGGACCATCTCGTAGATGCATCAATAAGCACCATAAAGTATTTAAATGATCCACACGGTGGGTCTATTGGTCCACATATATCCCCGTATATTCTTTTAAAAAATGTAGGTGATTCAATACCTACTTTAGCTGGCGATGACCTGGTTATCAATTTTTCCTGAGTGCATGCAATACAGGTTAACTAATTTGAGTTTAACACTTTTTGACCTTTTAATGAATGACCATGCGAATTTTCAATTATTCGCTTTATCATTATACTGCTAAGATGCCAAAGGCGATCATGCCATATTTGAAAATCGGTAGTCTTTTGATCTACCGTGAGGTGTGTTCCAACAACACCTAACCTGGCATAATATAAGCCAGTAGAGAGTGAGGGTAATCTCTCAATGATGCATTTCCTTTTATCAATGATATTGGTGATCAATAAAAATTCACCATCGGTATCACTTATAGTTTCAATGTGATAACTATTTTTCCGAATGTCATGAAAGCTCAGTAAATTTCTTCGAGCTTTAGTGGCCAATAGTGCATACTGTATCACAATTTTTGTCCCCGTGGGGAGAAATATAATGGCTTCTCCAGAGCCTTCAATTAATTTTGCACTGTCACTTATTGTATTGACATTCATTCTTTACCTTTTCAAATGGGAGAAATATTTTTTGTGTTTTAATATAGTATGCGTCGTTGCACTGTCAATGAAATACATATTTGCATCATTTTGATTGACATCAATTTAACCTTCAAATATAAATAAACGCAGTATTAATAAAGACAAATATAAATATTACAAAATGCATTACAAAAAGATAATATGCGATAATTTAAATATTAAAAAACATAATAGCACAATATAAAATGACATATTATGTCTGTCATTGGGGATTTGCTGAATCTACGACAAAATCCGCTATATCAAGATGCGTTGTGTCGTAATCCAGAAGATCATCATCAGGGTTTTCATCATTATTAACATGATTAGTCTCGACCTCCTTCCCTTTTTTTCTGCAGTGAGGCTTGATAAAGATCGACTAGGTGTTTGGCTGTTCTGCAGGTATTGGTCCAATGGCCTTCAATGCCACACCGATTACAAATGCCGATTTGCCTATTTCCTTGTTTAGCCTTTTTGGCTATATCCCCATATTGGGGTTTACTCTGCATCATATTAATGTCAAAACTGCGGCAAATTGTAAGGGGTATATAGACCGCGTTGACTTTCACGACCGCGACCACGTCCATAGCCTCTACCACGTCCCCGGCCTCGTTCAGAAAATGTCATGTTTGCTTCAGGGAACGGACTGTAACCAATGGGCTGGGACTGATGATTTTTCATCCGTAACTCATTATTTTGCTCAACTAATAAAAGACATGCTATGAGCTGTGAATAGTTTTGAAAATTTTTCTCACGATACTGTTGTTGCAGCACAATATTAGAAGAATGAAAAGTAGAGAGAGTCTTCTCCAATTTATCATTCTCAGTAACATTTTCTCCGCAGAGTTTTAACTGAAATGTAATATGATGGATAGCAGAATTATACTCTGTTACAGTTTTAAAATCCTGCAACCGCAGGTTAAGCCAATCATGTCGGGCTTTTGGGAGAGTGATATATTTCAAGTGTCTAAATCTCTCTCTTAATTCATTTCACAAATCTAGTGGATCTTTCACCGTCAAATATTCAGACTGTAGAGGAATGTCCAAATGATGACGGATGAAAATAATTGCCTTTGCCCGATCTTGGTTTGTAGCCGTATTTTTCATTGGCAATTGTATGAACAAGGTCCATTGAAATCAGATGCATTTCTACATCCAGGGACCAAGTCAAAAAATTATTGCCGGTGAGAGACAGAGGTTTAAAAGAAAATTTTGCAAGATTTTCCTAGTTTAGAAAATAGATAATATAGATAGTATAAAAATAAAACTTACCAAAAATAAAATAGGCAAGAGCCTTCGTGCTGATAACGTGTTATATAATAATATAATAGTGTGTTGATAAGTATATAGATATATGCACATATATATTAGTCTAAGTATTTATATTAATATATTATAATATAGTAGAGCAAAGATGTGTAACGGAGAGAGAGAATGAATTGATTGTCTATGCCATTTATTGAATGAACACATGCGTGTATTTATAGGCAAATGGAAGTACAGTGAAGGCCACGCAACATCCACACCATATACATGTGTATACTACGGGTGTGTTTGTTTGGGGGTTTGGATTTTGAGTTGGGATTTGAATAGTAAAAATTTTGAATTTGAATAGTTGTATGATGTGATATAAATAGGTGTTGATGTGATGTTTTGAATGTAAAATTGATTTTTAGTATAATATAATAAATAAAAAATAGGTGTTTGATTTGATTTTTTTTGGGGGGAAATTTTGGATGAATAGTAGAATTTTGGTAAAATTCTTCAAACGAACAAACCCTACGAGTGTACAACACATTTAATATTATTAAAAATTTGTTTGTTTTTTTAAGAAACAGCATACACGGGGGACGGATAGTCGGCCCCCATTGTTTTTTAGTCTCCTATGCCCCATAATACAATTGTGTATATATACAGTGTATACAGGGCCGGTCCCGACTTTCGAAGGGTCGGGGCGAAATAACAATCAAGGGCCCTTAAATATATATATATATAAAATATTTTTTTTACCTATAATAAAATATAAATAATTAATAAAAAAAACATTTTTTTTAGTATTTTATGCAAAAATATCAATAATAATAAGGAAAATTGTTCATAATTTCCTTGTAGTTTTGAAACTTAGCATAAAATTTTTATGTACTTTAAAAATTGTGAGACGTCCCTTTTATATTTTAACAAATATTATATGAAACTCATATCATACAAAATAATATAGACGAAAAATCATCTTCTCATCATCCAAAAGAATATATAAAAAAAGTATTATTCAACAATTTTGAAAGTATAAGAGGACGTCATGCAATTTATAAATTACAGAGAGGATTTACGCTAAATTTTAAAACAACAAGAGAGTTATTGATAATTTTGCCTAATAATAAAAATAATTTTTTCTAATACTTATTTTCTTCTTAATGCAAAAAAGTAAAATTAAATTAAGAAACCCCTTATAAATGATATACTCCCTCCGCCCCTTAACAATTTATCCATTTTGATCCATCTCATAACAGAGTATCAATTTCTTTTTTTAGTAATGATACTTTCTACTAATATTAAAAATACGCTTACAACTTACAATATATTACACAAGTCTTTTTTATTTTATTCATATCACACCCTCAAACTAAGATTTCTAAAACTCCGTGCAAAAGGCAAACATATAGATAAAGGGCGGATGAAGTATATATATATATATTTACCTATAATAGAATATAAATAATTAGATAAAATAACTTTTTCTAACATTCTTAGATAAAATATCAATAATAGTATTAATATTAATTTTGTCTAAACAATATTTATAAATAATATACTTCCTCTGTCCCATTTAAAGGTTACCATTTTCCATTTTCGTCCGTTTCAAAACAAGATTATCAATTTCCAATTTAGTAATTGCACTGCTTACTTCACATAATAAATATCATTTCAACTTACAATATATTACACAAATGCCATTACTTTTATATTACACCATACTAATAGAGGTATTTTTGTCTTTTTTACTACAATCCAATATAATAATAATATTCAAAAATTTACGTAAAGGACGGAGAGAGTATTTTTTATCTATAATAAAATATAAACAATTGAATAAAATAAAATATCTAACATTTTTATATGCAAAATATTAATAATAGTATTAATTAATATTAATACATTAAAAAATATTTTTAAATTTTAAAGGTACATAAATTTGAACCCAAAAATTCATAAATAGTACATAGAATCAAACTATATTCTTCTATTAATATAAAAGAATCAAATAATATGAATATATAAATATAACATAAATATATTAAGAGCCTTTATTTAGATTGAAATATATATATATATATATATTGATTGTGGCCTCAACTGCACGAGGCACAATCATTTTTTAATCGATAATTTGGCTTTGAAATTTATTCTGTGATGTTTTTTTTTCAATGGAGCCTCTAAAAAGATAGGACTTCTAAAAAAAAAAAAAAAAAACAAAAAAACAAAACTACAACATTGCCGTTGCTCTAAATATAGACTATTGCGAATTGCTGCTTCAATATAATTTGGAAATCACATTAAACAATGGAACAAAAATAAAATTGTAAAAATACTACAAAATTCACGACTAATAATACTCTCAATCAAGATTGGGTATTATAACTTCGTAACATCTAATTCTACAGCCAACAAAAAGGGGGTTGTGAAATTCATCTTCAGATTTCCACAACAGGTGAAGAGTTAGATGCCAAACCACAACAAACTCCCGAGCGAGTCCCCAAACTCTACGAGTTCTCCGTCTGTTTATACGCGCACACAGGGCATGTATAAAATATCGTCTGCCCTTCGTCAGCAGATCTAATCTGAATGAATCAAACAAAAACACCAAACAAATGCAAATCTTGTTAGAACAATCACTTCAAGTTAGTAAGCACATGGATCACAAAAACATATACCTGTCTGGCAACATATGCCATGCCCAAGTGTTGGCACGCCTTACACTTTGCATTGTAATCCTATCCAAACAAAGAATATATCGTTGAAATAAGTCGTAGTCAAATCTGCAGAGGAAAACAAGCAAGAATACAATTCTAACCATTTGTTTCAGCTCCCTTTCTTCTTCAATGTCATCGAGCAACGACACTCCCAGCTCCCTCCGCATATCCTGCCAGATTCAGCCAAAGATTAAACCTCATAAACACTACAAATAGACAGACAAATTTAAAACAAAAAACTATCACATTAAAAAAGTGTGAGAGCATATGCAAGTCCAATAAGATTAAGGTTCATCTGGTGATCATTTTCTAGACTGAGACTATACACATTGTATGTTCATTCTAAACTTCACATTTTCTGCTTTATATTAGATAAGATTACCAAATATTGTACTATTTAGCTGATACCAAGGCCAATCTCTAAAGTCCATAGTTTCAATAGGTTTACAAGTGACATAAGACTTCGATCATGCAAGATATACATATATATATATTCACTTTTTTCTTTTAGTCCAATACAATTTAAGATAAAGTACTATAGAGCTTTGCTACCTCATCACAATCAAAACAAAAAGTGGTTTTTCAATCAACACATTGGGCCTATGAGATTCCTTGATAATAATGCGTTTCCATTTTTTTTTCTAAAATAAAAAGCATATATTTAGCACTTGCTTTAAATTCAAAATATTGTCGGTGATACCTATTTTCACCTTTAAATTTTCAAACCCCAAATCAACAAGACATAAGTAAACAGACTTAACTATAATCATACCTCTGCGCTAATGGTATAGCGAATCTCTTTCCCAGCAATTTCTGAAAAAGCAATACCATGAAAAATCCTCAATCAACGAGCAAAAAGCAAACACGAATTCAGTTAATCAAATTTACAAAACATGATGTGGTATATGGGCAAAATCCCAGCATTTTCTTATATGTTTCCGATTTTTTAATTCGTTAGTCCATCAGTGCATCAAATCTACAATAAATTATAAAATATATATATATATATTTGACAAAAGCACAGATATAGATAACAGCATAGCATCAAACATTGAGCTGACCTACAACCATCCAATATTTTCAAAGCTGATGTTTGCTACTTTAAGCAAAAACTTGTCAATTCCATCCTCAAAATCATCTACCTCTTAAATCTATAAATAATATATGAAACAGATAACTGATAAATTACCATCCAGGGGCTTCTCGAAATTGCACAGCTTACATTCAGCAACCTTCTGAGAATCAAATGACAACATTGTCCCACACATTTCACAGAACATAAAATCACGCTGACGACTGCAATCCGTCATGGTTTCGAGTGATCCCAGCTGATCTCACACAATGGAATTGCCAACTGATTGTTCAGCTAGGAATCCTGCCTCAGGTTTAAGGAAGATGAGGAGAAGGGGTATCAGCACGCTGTTGTTTAGGAACTGTAGGTTGATTCTGCAGGTTCAAAGTTATCATTAGAGCTGTTAGAAAGGGCTGGCGGACCAAAGAGGGGCAGGGGAAAGCATAACAAATTAGACGGCACAGTATAAACTATTTAATAAGAAAATCATGCATGAAAATTGCAACAGCTAGTAAGTCCCTTGGGATCTTTGGATCGAACTTTTGATTCTTCAACTTTCCCTTGGGATAATGCAACATTTTATATATTTCTTCCCGCCCTAATTCACAAATAGCATCTTCTACAACCCCCACCTCCCCCAACCCTTCTTTTCTTTTTGGAAAAGAGAAAAAATGAACAAAAAAAAACTTCTCTCTTTTTGTCAGTAGCCTAAGAAATTCTATTGATCTTCCATGTCTATATCAATATTTTGATTCAAATAACAAGATGTCATCATATTTCTTTTGCCTTTTCAATATGCAACTAACAAGACAAAGGCACAAAGGTAGCTTCAATCACACAAAAATGCATAAGATTATAACTAATACAGGAAACACCAAAACCAATTCCAACAAAAGAAGCACAAAGCGAACCACCGATCCAAAAAAAGAGTGCACAAAGCAAAAAAAAATTAAACTAATCGACTTCAAACCTTCGAGTCAATCTAAAATCAACACAACTAATTACAACTAACTTCAAGCAATTCAAACCCTAAACACCCATCGGCAGGCATTGAAAATTTAACAACAACAAATAATTAAAAATAGTCTAAAAATTGAACTTACCAAGCCTCGGTACAATAACGAAAACGAATGTTCACTCTCTTGGAGGACAACGTCGACGACCGAGAAGAAAAACACGGCGGAGCTGGAGAAGAAGTCAGGTCTGGAAGCGGCGCGCCTATGTGTAAAAAATACCGATATAAAAAATAAAATAAAATTATATTAAGTATTAATAAATTTAAAAATCTAACCTAAAAAAAATGTAAACCCCCAATATATTGGGCATGGGCCGAATTAATAAATTGGTAACTAATAAATATAGAGCCCAAATATATTGGGCTTGGGCTAAAGGAAAAGGTCCAGTAAGCCGAATAGCCAAGCCTCGGCTGGAGCCGACTTCAGCGGCGGCGCGGCGGCGCCCAAAACCTCACATAAACCGCTCAGAAGCTTCTTCTATCTAACTAATTGTGATTTTTCTAGATTTGTTTTGGATCGTTCTAGATGAAGAGGATCGCCGGAGTCGCCGCCGTTTGCCGCGCCGTGAGGGGTGTCGCCGTCGCTTCTTCAGGTCCTGGATGCCTTGGTCAGCATCCCAGCCGCCTCTTCCAGGCGGCTGCTTATAGCACGAACGGGAATGGGAATTCCTTGGGTAGATCTAACTGGTTTTCGTACAATAGGATCGCCGGTGATCAGACCGCCGGCGTTTTCGCCGGGACGATGCTGTTTTCGGCGGCGGCGAGCACGGTTGTGGAGGAGGTCCACGCTAAAGAACCCGTGGAGTCGATGTTCAGGCCTAAGGACATGGTTCTCTATCAGTACGAAGCTTGCCCTTTCTGTAACAAAGTCAGAGGTATACTTGTTCATTTCTAGCTTCTAATTGATCTATACTTTACGAGCCTGGTAAATTAATTACATACATTTGTCACGGATCATGGACTTGCGATATCGAAGGTGCAGTACATACTATTTGGTTGTATAGAAAAATTGGGAAATTGCCATATTTTATATTCTGATTTCTTTTCTTTTTTAGTTTTTTCTTGCTGATTTTGGGCAAATCGAGCTTTTTTGATATAAGGCTCACTGGAAGATTCTTAGGATTTTTTATCACTATATGATTACGATTGAAATATAGAATTTGAGTTTGATATTGTATCAGAGCCAAATTTTATCCGGTACCTCCATAACCCGTTTTATCTCGTATGTATTTTTATATTGTATTAATGTATATGCTTCTATCTACGATCACGCTGTAATTTTCATGTCGTCTCCGTCTCTACTATTCCACTAACGGAGTCTACTTTCGACTCTAATGCCGTTGAAAGTCCTGTTTTTACTCTAACTGAGAAAGTCTTGTTTCCGACTCTAATTCCGTTATGAACGAGCAAATCCTATTTTCGACTCAAACTCTATAGAGTAAGTGAGTCTTGTTTTTGGTTATACTTCTGTTGCGAATGAGCGAGTCCAGTCCAGATTCCAACTCTAATGGTGTTGAGGGTTCTGCTTCTAACTCTGATCTAGTGGACGACATCAATCTTGGCGAATTCAAATTTGTATGTGGAAGATCTCGGCTATATTTTTTTCGGTAGCTTCTGATAAATTCAAATTTGTTCGATCATATCTTGAGTTTGAGGAGGAGTGTTAAAATATATTTAGAAGCAATATATTATATTTATGGTAGTTATCTTATTTAAGATATTCGTAGGATTCTTGTCTTATTTAGACGATTTGTATATCACTATAAATATATACGTATTCTTATGATTGAAAAAGAAAATGTTAGTTTCATATTCTAACAATATACAAGCAATAGGAAGAACAATTATGATGAACAGATTGGTATAGATGACATTGGATAGAAATGGACGAAAGCAATCTTCGAATGTTTTGATGGATAAATTGAAAGTCTTCTAATGGAGTATAACATTGTTTGGTTCCTCAATAATTAAGAGTCAATCATTTCGTGTTTTTTAAAGTACTTGAACTGTTGGTCGTCTTTCAAGCTTATAGCAGTATTGTTATTTCAGCTTTTCTAGACTACCATGATGTGCCGTACAAAGTTGTGGAGGTCAATCCTATAAGCAAAAAGGAAATAAAGTGGTCCGATTACAAGAAAGTGCCCATATTGATGGTTGGTGGTGAGCAAATGGTTGATTCATCAGGTATTGAAAATCTAGAAGATGAACCATAACATCCTCATTTAGATTCGATGATTATGGATGCAGAATAGTTCTTTAATTCTATTATCCATACACTTCCTAACAATTTGTCCTGATCGTTTTTCATGCAATTATTCTCTCTTACTAATTCAGCTATAATCAATACCTTGACCAAAAAGATTAATCCTGAGGCTTCTGTTGATTCTGCAAGTGAAGATAGTGAAGAGAACAAGTGGCGGAGGTATGTGTTTATAGCAGTTATCACTGCTTTATCGGAGGTTAACCTTTTTCTCGCTTGTTGGTATGTTTCGATTTATTCCACGTTAATGTTTGCTGTAATGAATTTGTCAATGATATCATTGCATAATTTTGGGATACGCCTAATGTGTTTTACATGCTCTGCATCCTGTTGACTGTTATAAACTTTTCACTTCAAATACATAATGTTGATCGTTATCAAATTTTACTTAAAATGCAGCGCATCTTTTTTGCATTATGATTAGTGATGCTAATTCATACAATTGCAGTTGGGTGGACAATCACTTGGTTCATGTGCTGTCCCCTAATATATACCGAAGTCCATCTGAAGCACTCGAGTCATTCGACTACATCACGAGTCAAGGTAAAACTTTTGTAATGCCATTGGTACATATGATTTAGTTATCAGTGCTGCAAATTCATGGAGTAGATTCAAATGACATTTTGATGATCTTTACTCCAAAGCTAAATATATACTCCCTCCGGCCACACTCCAAAGGGGTCATGTGAAGTTTTGTAATAGATTAAAAAAATAATACTAGTATTTTATCGGTCAGTGGAAGTGACGTAAGAACTAAGAAGTTTTTGACATTTTTATCATTTCACTTTATATATAAAATAATTGTGTATATAATGATATGTTTGTAATTTAGGTAAAATAGTATTTTGGTATTAGTGTATGATTACTTTTACTAAATAGGAAATAGATACTTTGGAATGGGACAGACGAAAATGATAAAATTGGTACTTTGAGTTGGGACGGAGGGAGTATGTTGGTCTATCTTCATTGACAAGACAGTAACAATATTTCATTTATTAACACTTGGCTTGTGAAATATACTATTCGAGTATCAAACTATGTAGGATTCACCCGATGCTTAAAGGACTCAAAATGGCGCGCAAAATTCTCAGTCAATTATGTATCCCTTAGGCCTAACATTGGCATCTTCCGGCTGCAGGTAATTTCAGCTTCACCGAAAAATTAACTGCAAAGTACGCCGGAGCTGCTGCCATGTATTTTGTCTCAAAGAAACTGAAGAAAAGGCACAACATCAGCGACGAGCGTGCTGCTTTGTACAAAGCAGCAGAAACATGGGTGGATGCGCTCAAGGGTCGAGACTTTTTAGGTATGAATCAATTGCAAAGTGTTAGAGATGAGTACATATATATATATTAAGACATGAGGACTAATTCCCCGTGTCTACCAGGGGGATCGAAGCCTAATTTGGCAGACCTTGCTGTCTACGGCGTCTTGAGGCCTATCAGGTACCTCAAGTCCGGCAGAGACATGGTGGAGAACACACGCATTGGCGATTGGTACAGTCGAATGGAAAATGCTGTGGGAGTGTCTTCTCGACTGCCGGTTTGATTCCGAAGTTGTTTACTTTATCCCATGATAAATAGAGTTATAGTCGAAAATTGTGATACCTATGCATAATATTTAAGTTGTTGATTGCTGGGAGAGAGATGATCCCTAGCTTGTTGGTTCTGAAGGATTGTTGGATCCTAATCTGGAGGGATGAAACATCACTAATGTCATATTATACATAAAATTTCAGCTGTATGCTACGAATGAATAATTATTGAAATTTGGCCGCGGCTTTTCTGTTAATGACAATCCTTTTATTTATTTATTTATCAGATGCTGGAAAAAAGACTCTACGCCTTTTTTTTATATATATATATATATATATGTATATATAATTTTTTATAAATATTATTTAAAAACTATAATAAATATATATTAATGTGTATATATTATATTTTCTTTTTAATATTTGTAGAAAATTGCTTTATATATATATATCCATTCAAAAAAGAAAAAATAAACAAATGACATGTTCACCAAATTAAAAGCAAAGTATATACTCAGATATTACAAAAATAAAAAAATAAAAATATCAGCAGTTTAATATTAATTTTATTATTTTTTATATTGTCAATTTATCGCATGATGAGACTATTATTTAAAACTTTTAATGTTAGTTATTTATAATTGTGAAAATATTATTAAATATTTATTTTTAATATCTTTAAATAATAAAAATATATCATAAAATTAATTATAATATAATATAATTAATTATAAATTAAAATAAAAATAATTAATTAATTTAATTATATTAAAATTATAAATTTAAAAATTTAAAATAAAATTAAAATATATAATTTTTTTTAAAAAAAAAAGTGATATGAGATGTGAACTTTTAAAAACAATATCTTATTTCTATCACTATAAAATTATCTTATTTTTAATTATTATTACACAAATATTATTATTTTTTACAAATTAAAATAAATTCACAAAGGCAAAAATATATTTTTACTATATTTATTACTTCTTTCGTCCCACCTTAATTGTACGGAGTTTTAGATATTGGTAATCAATAAATAATTAAAAAAATATATTAGCAAAAATAATTATGATTTAATAAAGAAAATTATAAATTAAAATTAAAATAATTAAATAATTTACTTAAATAAAAAAATTATAAATTATAAATTTTAAAATATAATTAAAATATATAGTTATATTTGAAAAAAAAATAAAAATTATATGGATCAAAAATAAAAGGAGTGGTCAAATTAACTATTGAGAATACTAACTATTAAATCTTGTATCAATATAATATTAATATTACTTAAATCTTATATCCAACATAAATCTAAATGTTTGTTTCTCCAAACCTAATTTGGGCAAAATCATTGTGCAATTACTGTACACAGTGATTTGGACGCCAAATCGGGAGCATCCAAACCGCTGCAGCTTGCAGCACAAAAGCCGCACTTTTTTTTTTTAATTCAAAATATAAATATAATTCAAATATTTTATTTATTTAATATTTATAATAATTATAAATTAAAAAAATATATACAATATATATCATTTTGTAGATAATATAATAAAAATAATAAAAATTTAAATATATATATTAGGTATAATATAAATTTATAATTAAATCATACAATATAAATTTTATCAATTAAATTTATTATACATTTATATTATTTTATTCATTATCTATAGTATCAATACACATCAAAATTCTCACAACTTCAACCAAGCTCAAACACAAAAAAAACAATAAAATTCAAACTCATCACAAAATTCAAATAAAAACTAAACTCAAAACCCAAATTTTGCAGACCAAGAAACACACCCTAACTTATTATTTGGGCAGGAAGGGAGTATTATTTTAGTGTTAATATAAGCAACAACGGAGAATGTCTGAACAAGGAAGAACACACAGCTTGTGCCAAACAAACAGACCGTAAAGAGATATGAAAAAGGTAACAATCAGAGCAGAAACAGAGCTGATTTCGAAACAAAACCCGTGAGAGTCAACACAAAGAAAGAAAGAAAGAAAAAGTTACTCCATAAAGTTTATAACACCACCACATCTCTGCGCAGTTAGTTAATGACAAAATAAAGAGCCAAACAAACAGGCGCAGCCACAGCTAAGCCTGATCTGGACAACCAGATCGTTTTAAACTCCCACAAATGTCTAGTTAATACTATTAGACAAGCCACCTGTGTGTTCATCACATCTGGTTAATACTACTATTAGACAATGATGATCAATACAGGATGGTGATGTTGATGATGATTTGTGACATCCCAACTATATTTAAAATAAATCTAGAAATTTTTGGAGGAAAATAATGAAATTATCTTATCGATGCAATACAAAACCTACTCGACAGACTCAAATATAAATAATCTATAAAATATGGATAAGACCAGATCTAAATATAAGTGTGTTTGTTTGAGGATTGTATTTTAAATACACTGTTCATCCCATTTTTTTCCCCAAAAATATCTAATCAAACATCTATTTTTTATTTTTTATATTATACTAAAAATCAATTTTACATTCAAAACGTTACATCAACGCCTATTTATGTGACATCAACAACCCTAAATCTTAAATTGAATATTTAAAATATTTCAATAATTTCCATGCGGCCCATTGCATCTCCTTTTTACATTTAACCATCTTCACAATCATCTCTATTAATAGTTGTTCAACAAACTCTTTCTTCTACTTCCATTCATTCTCAGTTTCTCACTCATGATAATGTTCTTTAATCACCTCAGTCAACTTATTAATTCTTGTGATGTATATGTACCAAGCCCTGAATTCTAGAATACATCTAATCTAACATTTATCTTTTTAACCAGTTTCTGGGACTAATTAAATAAATAAGTTCAACATATATATGTGTGTGATTCTTGAATTTATTCATTTTAGTGCCTGATAATGGAGGGTAGACCAACAAACTAAGGATGTAAAAAAGATGACACGACTACACTCGTCTGAACTAACCCTCACCAACAACCCCAATTAATTAAATTTTGCATCATGGGCATTGAACTAACTACTAAGTTTCCCTCCCTCTCATTGATTTACTACCTCAAACTGATCATTATTCATTTCTCTGCATAAATTTAGGCAATCTAATCAGCTCTGGTACTCTTAGCTGCTCAGTCAACCTTGGAAATTCTAGTAGAATCAAGTTACTAATATATATATATATATATATAAACACAGATGTATATACAGACACTATACGAAGTTGACTGATGCATTTATCAAAATACTTCAAAAATACACACAGCTACACAAACACATATCATGAACAATAAAGTAGAATAAAATAAAATAATCCATTTTATGCATGGCATGAGGTCTCATAATTTATGCAACTAAAGCAAGCACACACACCTACTTAATTGAATGCTCGGGAAAAGCAAGGAAACCTCAATCCTTCTATCTACACGTGTACACATATGCACACACAATATATGTTCTGACAACATATGAGCACATCATAATATTACGATGTATATAAAAAAATCAGTATTCTAACCGCCACTATATATGTATATATGTGTATATATATATTACACTAGTTATCTATAGCTGTTCTATAAAACCAACTTATATCAAGTATACTCTTGTGTGTGTCTAAACCGACACATACACACACACATATATATATACCCGCGCCCCATTATCCAAGCATGTTCAACACCTATTGATCTTATGAATATCTACAGCATATAAATTAAAGGGAGATGGGATTTGTTCAGGTTCCATGTTCATGGAAGTTTGGTTCAAGAATGATGGTTTGGTGGCTTTTGTGTGTGTTTATGATCATGGCTGGCCTCATGAGTTGTGATGGGACTGTAAGGCTCTCGCCAAATATGACAGCAGCCGGAATTTTTGCATTCGGTGACTCCATTGTTGATCAGGGCAACAACAATGTGATGAGGACTATAGTTAAATGCAATTTTCCACCATATGGCAAAGATTTCCAAGGTGGAGTCCCCACAGGGAGGTTCAGCAATGGCAGGACCCCTCCAGATTTTGTTGGTATGTGTAAATACAAAAACATCATCACCCACACCACATATTATATATATGTATGTATTTATATAAACTCACAAACAAAATTGTGTTATAATACATGCATTGTAACTTTGGAGCTATATAGTTAATTTGATTGATTCCATTGGTTCACAACATAATGGATTTAAAAGAACAGTATCCAGACACTACGTTTAAAGTTATTAATAAGTTAGACTGTATTAAGATTCTCATGTTCAATGTAGGTTTATAGTAATTTTCTAAGTAAAATGCACTGTATGTTGTTTGAGCTCAATATTAATCAATTTCTTATTTCGAGCTCAAGCTCAAGCTCAATTCAACTCATTAACTAGTTTTTTCAACTTAAGTTTTCTAACTCCAACTCAAACTCAGCTTGTTGAACAGTTCTTCTATCCTAAACCACATATAAAATGAAATGTGAACTTTAGATGTGAAAAGTTATCTTTAGACCAACACTATAAAAGATTTCGAATAAAAAGTAAAGTTTGTATTAAGCTCAGCTCATTTTACCTCATCAAATGAATTTTATAACCACAACCTTTAATATCCATTTTAAGTAGTCTAAATATATATGTGATGTTAAGTTCCCTTCAACTACAGCCGAAGCGTTGGGGATTGCAACAATGATACCAGCCTATCTAGATCCCAGCCTAACCATAAAAGATTTTACCAAAGGTGTAAGCTTTGCTTCTGGAGGATGTGGTTATGACCCTCAAACAGCTCAATTAGTGGTATGATACACACAACTTAGAACTTATATCCCTAATTTATTGATGGTTCAAAATCATTTATTCCTAATACACGATTTTGTGTGTGCATTTAATTTGTTCGATTTCCAGTCAGTGACATCACTAACTGATCAGCTTGAGCAATTCAAAGATTATGTATGGAAGCTAAAAGGTGCAGTTGGAGAAGAAGCAGCAAACAACATATTGAACAGCAGCATTCATTTAGTAGTAGCAGGCAGCGATGATTTAGCAAATACTTACTTCACCATTGGTATTCGCCGCCGGCAGTATGATGTTACTTCTTATGCTGATCTTGTAGTATCCTCTGCCTCCACTTTCATACAGGTGGGGAAACGACTCCTAACTACATCCAAAATTTTCCAGACATGAATATGATCATTAAATTCAGGCATGCGTGTGTATGTGTGTGATATGTAATTGCAGCAACTGTACCTAGTTGGAGCAAGAAAGATAGCCGTGTTTGGAGTCCCACCAATAGGGTGTTTGCCAGCACAGAGAACACTTGCAGGTGGCTCAACAAGAGCGTGCGTCGAGGAGTACAATAAGGCAGCGCAAATTGTTAATGCCAAACTCGCGCCAGCGCTTGATTCCCTCACACAAAGTCTCCCTCAGTCAAGAGTTGTCTACATCGATGTCTACAACCCTCTTCTTGACCTCATCCAACACCCCCAAAAATATGGTGAGCCTGACTGCCCTCTGTAAAATCTCCCATATAAACATACTTCTTAAATAACATTGCTGAGTAATGTTTCAGGTTTTGAAGTCAGCGACATAGGGTGTTGCGGCACAGGGAAAATAGAAGCAGTCGTGCTATGTAATCAATACAGTGGAACATGTGCAGATGATTCTAAGTACATCTTCTGGGACAGCTACCATCCCACTGAGAAAGCATACAAGTTTCTTGTCGATCAAATTGTTCAAAAATATGCCAACAAGTTCCTCTAATCAAAACAGACTACAGCCACAAATCTCGACAATTTCTTCCTACATTGATTAAGAGTGTCTTATGTTGTTCCTACACAATCAACAGCTGCCCTTTTACAACTACATATTATTCACACTATAACTACAACTGTCTCATGTAATCATATGCAATTAATATTGAAAACCATTGTACCACAGTCTTATATAAAGAAACAGAGCTTCCATCTATCAAATCACCAACAGCTTCATTTACACATGTTATTCCATATATCAAGTTTGTCCACAACAAACTGCTCAAGAGTAACATCTCACAATCATTTTGTCCAATTCCATTACCAGAAAACAAAGCAATCAAACTGTCGTTGCACAAAAGAAAGTAGAGCAATGATGAACAATCACTTACAGAGGCCAATCTATACCGATATCTTGGTCATGTTTTCTTTTCTTTTTCCACCAAAGATGACTTGAACCAAGGTACACACATGGAAGTTGTACGCTGGTACTTCTTGTATGCCTCCGCCCTGTTCTCCTTCTTCAACATCCGTTCCTCCACAAGTACCGTAACATAAGACAAGCATAAAGTGTTCACTAACGCCCCAATAGACATCCACCCACAATCCAAGTTCCAAGCAAACATCGCCAATCCCCACCACCATAGCTGCTCGCCAAAATAGTTTGGATGCCGTGAGTGGCGCCATAAGCCTTCATCAAGAATCGGCGCAGACGCTTGACCAAGATGTTTCATCTTTTCAGTTCTAGTCACATAATTGTGAAGCTGTGTGTCAGCAAAATAGGCAATACTAATACCAGTCAAGCACACCATGGCAGCAACTAAATCCCATCTATTCAATTGCTTATCTTCTGAGTGGACAGCATAGAGAGGTGAGCATATTCCCATGAGAAATGCCTGAGGCATATATCACAGGTAAATGCATTCAGTAATTTCATCAAACATTTTCATTGCAAAGTATGAACACTGTACAGCATTGAGTCTAGAAACCCTAGCAGATTAATTCAATTCAATTACCTGCTGAGAAAGGTAGATAGCGAAGAAGGAAATCCACCACCAATTGCTGCCGTACTGCCGCCGCATGTCGCTGAATCTCCAGTCTTCCTGCGCTCCCCACTGCCATTTTTCCCGGCGGAAATAGCTGTGACCGAGTCGAACGCTCCAAATCCACGTCAAAATAATCACCAACCTCGATCTCCAAGCGTTGAACTCCGCCAACGGGTGACTTGCGAAGCTATGAACCAGCATCACAGGTATCATCATCCAATACAAACCGATCATCTGCAACAAGCCAAATTTCCAGTTGCATTCACAGATAATAGAGGTTAATCGAGAGTATAAACTTAATACTAACCCAGTGGCTGGACTGGATGAGAGCTACTATCCAGAATAGAACATTGACATTGAAGAAGAACAGAACGTTCGCCAACAGGAAAGGGTGCCGACCGCACCAATTCCAGAGAGGCGAAGCAGAATCTTCCGAGTAATTGCGTAGGAACGATAGGTAGAACAAAACGGACGGCAGCGGAGCGAGAACTGCAACCGCCGCATTCCGCAGGTTTTGGCGTCGATTGCTGATGCTGCTGCTAAATGGCGCCATGGCAGTCATGAGTCATGACCTACATCGACTCCCCGCACCTCATTTTATAGGCGCTGCAGAACTCCCGCTCAAATCTTTTTCAGAGCACCGTGGTGTCATCATTGCCATCTGATTCTCCATATTCGTTCCTTGATCACTGCCGAGATTAGTGATTTTAATAATGAATGAGATTAGGTGTATGCCTAGTGGAGCAATGATTGCCCCTGCCTAAGCAAATGATGAGCTCCATTTTGCTTTCGGCAACTCATCATCATCGATCGTGATGTCACCGCCGGCGAATATTCTCTCCGCCGTCTTCGGTGGCGCTAAAGCGTCGGCGCCATATCATCATGATTTCAATATTTGGTTTGGTTGGGACCACACTTGATGGGCCGGGCTGAGCAAACCCATCTGGACCCGTACTGTAGTAAGGTTTTTATTTCTATTTTTTATTTTAAATAATATGCAATTATTCAACATATTCATACAATAAAAATATATGGTATCTCCGTCTACTCTCGTATATATGTATTTATTTTGAATTATCCAATTACTTTAGTGGACGAGTATTGTTATTTAATCAAATTTTTATTTACAATTTCTTTTGTAAATATTTTAAAAATTTTACATTAATTTATCTAATATCTAAAAGTATACTGCCTCCGTCTCATAAAATCACCACTATTTGTTTTTTTCACGTATAGTTTTTAATATTAATATTATATTGATTAAAGTAAAAATGATAAAAATGATATTGTGTAATATAAAAGTAATGACATTTTATGATATATTAAAAGTTGTAACAGTATTAATTATATTAGATAACAAGTAGTACAATTATTAAATTAACAAATGATACCTAGCTTTTTGGATGAACAAAAAAAAATAAAATTGTATCCTCCTTATAAGACGAAGGGAGTATATAATTTACTTATAAAAAAATGTTTTGGAATAATTTTTCCAATTTTATTAATTTTTCATTTTCCATGTATACAAAAATAAACAATAAAGTAATAAATGATAAAAATATAAAACAATCAAAATGTAAATAAATAAATGAATGTTGAACACGTAGTAGATATGTATTATGTACGTAGCCACTACGTGTATAATAGTGGATGCGAGATTCTTTATCTTTGAAATATGTTTGTCCCTGTAAATATATGTACATTTTTACTAATGAAAAAAAAAATCCAACTAAATTCACTCGCTCTTGCCTCATCTGTCCGTGTTCATTTTATTCCATTTTACATACATTATAGTACATATATAATATATATTCATATATACCTTCACTAACACACAAAGTACACTTATATATATATATGGTAAAATTGTTCGTAACTTCCTTGTGGTTTCGAAATTCAGCGTAAGATCTCCCTATATTTTAAAAATTGCATGACATCCCCTTATACTTTCAAAAACATTGCATGAAACCCCACCACCATAAAAACTCTCTAGTATGATGAGAAGATGATTTCCTATATGTATGTTTTGCATGTCGGGGGAGTTTCATTCTTTTTTAAAGTATATGAGGACGGCATATAATTTTTTAAAGTAAAGTGGGGATTTAAACTGAGTTTTAAAACCACAGTGGGGTTTCATGTAGCATTTTTTAAAGTAGAAGGGACGCCATGCAATTTTTAAAGTAGATGGGGAATTTACGCTGAGTTTCGAAACCACAAGGGAGTTATGGACAATTTTGCCTATGTATATATATTATTACATAGCACACCACACACATATATCTTTATATACTATATATATATATTATATAATAATATATACAATATATAAAATAGTGGTTAGTGGTAAAGATAATTAATATTTCGATTGACTAATCCTATAATAATATTACAACACGTTATCATCATGATTGTGCATTTTATTTTCCGCAAGATAATATTTTATACTTTATTTATTTATTATGACTAACCTTGTCAAACAGGAATTTATCCCTCTCCTCGTTTCTGGCCAAAATTATATGGCATGGGCTCGCGAGGTTAAAATGTTTATAACTTCAATGGGCTTGGAAAATATCATTGCCGGGATAAAAATTCCCCAAGCCAAGATCGTACAAAGGTCATGGTCTTTTTTGTGTCATCACATCGATGAGGCACTGAAAATGCAGGATGTCACGCTGGAATCCCCACTTGAGTTGTGGTAGAGATTGAAAGAAAGATATGATCACTTGAGGCTGACATTATTGCCAAGGGCACAAATCGAATGGCGAAGCCTACGGCTTCAAGACTTTAAAACAGTCCAAGAATATAATTCTGTCATGTTTAAAATAACATCACAGCTACGCCACTGTGGCGAAGATATATCTGAATCTGATATGATGGAGAAAACTTTCTCCATTTTCACGCCTCTAACATGGTTTTGCAGCAGCAGTATCGCGAAAGAGGCTTTTAGAAATATTTTAAGCTGATCACCTGTCTTTTGCTAGTCGAACAAAATAACGAATTATTGTTGAAAAATCAATAATCTTGGCCGACATGTGCAAATCCATTTCCAGAGGCAAATGCAATACAACCGGCAAATCTTATGCGTGGCTTTGGGCAGGTCAAAAATCAACGAATTGATCGCGATCGAAATCATAATCATGGACAGGGCCGGACAAATGCATACAGTCACAATAATTATCAGAACAGGCCCCGATATGTGAATCGGCGTTATAATGACAGAAGGCCGTACAGACCTCAACAGAGGTTCAACACCGGGAGAAATAGAAGCAATGATGAGGAATGCACCCGGTGTGGAATCAAAGACCATTGGGCCCATGTTTGTCACACAACCAGTCACTTGGCTGAATGGTATCGGGCCTCAAAAGAAAGGCAGGGAAGAATTAGCCCCGAAACAAATCACACTGTCCACGATGACACATTTGACGATGTGATGAATGAAAATATCACGCACCTGGATGCCGATGATTTGCTTGACATAGCTGATGATATTAAATGATAAAATGTTGTTGTATCTCTTCTGTTATTTCGATGTTTTCTACCCCTGTTTTTGTATTATCCTCTATAATATAAGTCTATTTTGATTATGTTACTAATATATATCTTTTATTATTTTTACCTTCTTGCAAAGATATGGATGCCAAATATTTTGGAACCGATGACAATATTTCTCTTATCGACAGTGCTACGACTCACAGTATTCTAAAAAACAAAAGTTATTTCTCCCGTCTGAATATGGGAAAGACCACTATTGTTACTATAAGTGGTGTATCAAAACTAATTGAAGGCTCATGAAAAGTTACAGTATTTCTCCCTAAAGGGACAAAAATGGCAATTGAAAATGCCCTGTTCTTGAGCAAAGCTCGAAGGAATTTACTGAGCTTCAGTGATATTCGGAAAAATGGGTATCACATTGAAACATTGAATGAGATAGAAAATGAGTATCTCTTGATAACTCATATTGTAAATGGCAAAAGAATTGTGAAAGAAAAATTGCCATCATTTTCTTCCGGCTTATATTATTCAAAAGTTAATGCCATAAAAACATATCACTTAGTAGACCAAATGACTACTAGCAAATTTAAAACTTGGCGCGATCGACTTGGGCATTCTGGAAATGTAATGCTGAGGCGAATTATTGAAAATTCAAATGGCCACCCATTTAAAAAGAAAAATATTTTGAGTCCGAATGAATTTGCTTATACTGCATGTTCCCAAGGGAAGTTAATAATCCCCCAGCTTTTCTGGAAAGAATTCATGGTGATATTTGTGGACCAATAGATCCACCGTGTGAACCAATAGATCCACCGTGTGGACCCTTCAAGTACTTTATGGTACTAATTGACGCATCAACGCGATGGTCACACATATGCTTATTATCTACTCACAATCTAGCTTTCGCTAAACTACTTGCACAAATAATTAAATTGCAAGCACAATTTCCAAATCATCCGATAAAGAAAATACGTTTAGATAATGTTGAAGAGTACTCATCATATACATTTGAGGATTACTGCATGTCAATTGGGATTGTTATGGAACATCTTGTTCCCATGCACATAGGCAAAATGGTCTGGCTAAGTTCTTTATCAAAAGATTGCAATTAATTGTTAGATCATTGTTAATGAGGTCTAAACTTCCCGTATCAGTTTGAGGACATGGCATATTGCACGCAGCAGCCCTCGTGAAAATAAAACTGACAAGTTATCACTGTTATTTTCCTACTCAATTGGTATATGAAAAATTACCAAATATATCTCACTTGCAAATTTTTGGATGTGCTATTTATGTGCCACTTGCACCACCCCAACGTACAAAAATGGGACCTCAAAGAAGGTTGGGTATATATGTCGGGTATGAATCACCATCGATTGTAAAATATCTTGAACCAACAATGAGTGATTTATTTACTGCAAGGTTTGCAGATTGTTATTTTGATGAATCTCATTTTCCGACATTAGGGGAGACAGTAATCAACTGAAAAAAGAAATTTCATGGAAAATACCACTTGAATTTGATCCTCGTACGGAACATAGTGAACTTGAAGTTCAAAGAATTGTGCATTTGTAGAAAATTGCAAATCAATTGTTTGATGCTTTTAATGATGCTTCCAGAGTTACAAAATCATATATTGCAGCAGCAAATGCACCAACTAAAATAAATATCTCAGAAGGGAAGGTGTCGAGTGCTAATGAGCATATTGCCCGCGTAAAACATGGTAGGCCGTTGGGTTCCAAGGATAAGAATCCATGAAAGAAAAAAATTGTAAATACTGGTGAAGAGATCAACAATGATAACATACCTGAAAAGGTCAGTACAACCCCTGAAGAGATTGATACTAAAAATTCTGATGAAAGTGGGGATGAATTTATTGAAACTTCTGTTAACTATATCACCGGTGGAAAATATTGGAACATATATAAACAAATATTGATAATGCATTTGCACATTCTGTAACACTCGATATAATGAAAGATTTTCTGCAAGTCATCTCGAGTTCAAAGGCATCCAAGACGAGGATTATGAACCAAAATCAGTTGATGAATGTCGGTAAAGAGATGATTGGACAAAATGGAAAGACGCAATTAAATCTTAATTAGACTCATTGAATAAACGACAAGTATTCAGACCCATAGTCCAAACACCTGAAAATATGAAACCTATTGG